TGTGGGTGGGTGGGTGTGTGTGTGTGTGTGTGTGTGTGTACAGCAAGGCAGCACAGCCCGCCCCGAGGTGCCCGTGCAGTTGCCGCCAGCATGGAGCTGATGCTGGAGCTGTGCAGTCCAGCGCAGCTGTTTGTAGCCTGCCCGCTGCTTGCTGCAGCTGCCCAGAGCCCGGGCTGGCTACAAACAGCTGCACCTGGCTCATCACCTCCATGCCGGGAGCAGGGGAGAGACCAGGGCTGTGCTGCCTCAGGCCCCTCCCCCACTGCCTGCTCTGAAGGGCGCCTGCACATGTGGGTGTGGAGCTGATGTCGGAGCCCGGTACAGCTGTTTGGAGCCTCCCAGCTGCAGCTGGCCCCAGCTGGGGGAGCTGGGGCCAGCTGGGATTCTGGGCTGCTCCCAGCAGGCAGCTGGGACACTGCAAGCCCTGTTGGGAGCAGTCCGGGCTCCGTCGCTGGCAGCAGCTACCCAGAGCCAGGGCTGGCCGTGGTGTGCCAAGCAAAATGGCCTCACGTGCTATGCTTGGCACGCGTGCCAGCGGTTGCTGACCCCTGTACTAGATCATGCTTCACCCTGATGGCTGAAGACTGCAAGCAACGACCCCCTGCTGAGGACTGCAGACCACAAAGCCAGAAGATCATGTCCTACCAATTCCAGCCTCAAGGCTTTGGATCTTTTCCACCTGCAAGAAGGAGTTTTGGGCACGCCCAACAAGACATGACTGCAGCCCTGGTGGTCAGTCTGGCATCTTTTCCACCTGCAAGAAGGAGTTTTGGGCACGCCCAACAAGACATGACTGCAGCCCTGGTGGTCAGTCTGGCCAGTCACCAGACTAACTGACCAACTTTAGAACTTGGTAACAGCTTAACCTTTGCAGGACTGTCTAACTATCTGTGTGTGTGTGTGTGTGTGTGTGTGTGTGTGTGCTTGTTTCTTTGAATGAATGAATGAATGAATGAATAAGTATGCGTGGGAATGAGTGAAGCAAATAACTGTACTGTTCTCTATTCTTTTCATGTTGCATATTTTATGTTTTATGTTCCAATAAATGCAGTGTTGTTCCTTCTCCCCTGATAAGATTCCTGCTTGTTTTTAATTCACACTGTATACCCTATGCACACAACAGGAGGCACATGTCCCCCCACCCTGACAGGGCTCTCCCCCCACTGCCAGCGCCACCTTTTGTGGGTGGTCACCAGCCCCATCCCTGCTACCACCGCCAGCTTCTGTGGGTGCCTCCCCAGACTTATGAGGCACCAGTTGCCTGTGTCTACATGTGTGCTTTACTGCAGAATTAATTAATTAGCTCTACAGTAAAGCTTCACTGTCTACACATGTGGTGCTTATAGGTTTTGGTAAACTAATTAACTCCACCTTAGGATAGTACTGCCTGACACAAGTACTATCCTATGGTGGAGTACTTAAATGCACTCAAACTCGCATGTAAATGGTGACTGGGACTGGCTGGGACACAGGGGTGCTACAGTGCAGGGGCTGTCTGCTGGCTAGTCCTGCACTGTAGCACCCTCATGCCCCAACCAGCCCTTCCACAGCATGTTGAGCTGGGGCAGAGCAGCTCTGGGCTGGCAGGCTGACCCGTCCCCACCCCGGCCCTCTGCCAGCTGGGAATTATCCACCCTGGCTCAACATGCTGCACTCCGAAGTACAGATGTAAATGCTGTGCCTGGGAGCAATAAACTCCAATGAGAACTGTGCTGAAGTTTATTTAAATGCATTAATAGCAAGTGTAGATAGGCCCACTGCTTTCAATATTGGAGCTGAGTCACTCAGAGTTACCTTGGATATTTCTATGCAACACAGCCTTGTGCTGTGTAAACATATTAATAATGCTGATCTCTGAAATTCAGCTTTCCTAATCACTACATCAATGGTAAATTAAGAGCTAGATTCACCAGTACACTTTGACTGCCTTGGTGATTCAAAGAGACTGCAAACTCCACTTAACTACCCTGTGTACTCTTGCTGCTTACTGTTGCTGTGGCGTTCCAAGGAATCTATCACTGACATTTAAAAATAATAATAATAATCATAAAATGGATTTAAGGTTGAAAAGTACTGCATAATAGACCTTTGCTTGGGTTTCTTGTTTAGCAGTTGTTTTTAGGATGTTTAACATTTCTTTTTTAAAAAAAAGCTTATGACATTTCTGCGGCAGGAGGAAGGGGGAGACCAAAAACCTATGATAAAATGGAGTTCTGACTTGTACTGACATCATGAAGAAAAAAAAAAGAACAGTTTAATGTAATCTGGGACAACATACACTGATGTCCTTCTCATAATGAGATGTTTTTTCATAGTTTCATGATATGACATAGTTTATACTGTCTGGGTGCATTTTCATATATTAATAGACCTGCAGTTTTTATTCAAACCTTGCAGGGCTTGTGATGTTTTATTTGATAATTGAAATATCCCTTTAATATTTTTGCCCTCACAGATGCACACTTTCAGTCTTTATTCTGTTTTGCTTTTTGTTGTTCATTCATTTATTCTGAAATATTTATCAGTGGTCACCAACCAGTTGATCGACTGGTTGATAGTGGAGCTTCTGACAGTTGATCTCAGTCTGTCAGAGGCTCCACAATCAGGAGCGGCAGGATGCACATGTCTGGGCTGAGCCACATCCTGTACCATCCGGGCTCAGCAGGGTGAATAGGGTCAGAGCCTGGGCAACTTGTCGGGGAGGCGGGGGCGGGCACAGTGCGGGCTGGGAGGGGGGCGGGGTGTGTGTGGGGGGGTACGGTAGATCCTGGGGTGCCAAGAAGTGATCCTCACCATAAAAAGGTTGGAGGCCACTGATTTATATAATGCAAACCCCAAGGTCTTTATTGAGTGTCACTTAGTGTCTTGCACAGTTGCTCATGGAAGAGGGCACAATAAATCTCTTCCCAATTTCCCACCACTGTACTGGAACAGCCACAACTTCAGCTGGGATTTTACCATGCAAGTGCAACAGATTCTGATCAATATCAGAAAATATGTTCTTAGAGTAAGATCTGTAATTCTGTTTCCTAAGGAAATAACAAAGTCACTAAAAACTGGACAGTGTAAAGTATTAAAAATACTGATGGAAGGTAGCATCCTGAATCAATAGGGAGATGAGAAGATGACTTTAACTGAGGGGAAAAAAACCCTTCTGTTTAAGTGGTAATTCAGAGGTCAATAAAATAGCCACACTAATACAGAATTACCTAGAGCACATTTTGTACATTGCTTGCTAGAAAATAGGGTGACCATAGATCCTGGTTTGGCTGGGACAGTCCCAGATTTTGGAGGCCAGTTCCAGCCAGCCAGCACAATTAAAATGAGTGTCCTGGGCTCAGGGCATGGGGCAGGGAGGAGGTGTGGCACAAGCTGTGAAATAGGAAGCCCTAGCAGACAAAAAATTGCCCTAAAATAGGATAGCTTGAATAGCAGAATGACCATTAAAAATGGGAGATGATTGTGAAGTAAAGAACAATGGGTCATTAATTGGCCATTGACTCCCTTAGCTGCCTGAATAGTAATACCAGAGCTGCACCACACTGCCCTGTCCCCATCTCTTCCTGCAGCAGTGCCGCTGACTTGTGGGGAGGGGGCAGCAATGTCCTGGATTTCACATTGTCCCATATGGTCACCTTACTGTAAAACAAGCTTTTAAAATCTATTTGTACCCTGACACCCAGGTGTAACAGCAGTTCACCTTGAGTTGGTTGGGAATTTACATTTTTTTCCTAATTTTAAGTGTGACCTGCTTATTAAAAGTGGTGAGCAGGCCAATTTGGAGACTGAAGTTTTATATTTATTCACCTCCTCCTCCCCTGCCAAAAAAAAGGATCCTAGAAAAAGCTCATACAAGCTCCACACATTATTTTACCAGTGTGGCTCAGTGGTGACTTGGGTCAGTTGGTTCAGACTCCGTATCCATGGACTCTTCGGTCTGGTTCTGTGGCAGGGTTTTTCAGGATATGCTCTTCTGTCTACTGTGAACTGGACTAGTGGACCATCAAACTCCTTTCATATGCACTACTTAAAATGGTAAGTTAGTAACAATTTGAGGTCACTACGGAGCTATGTAACTAGGAGTAGCCCAGGAAAAAAAGAAGTAAAAATGTCTATATCTTACTACCAGTTTCCTGAGCCACACAGTTCCCTGTACAGAGAGGAATTGTAAAAGCTGGTTTATTTTGGGTAACAGCAACTCATGGTTTTTCTGTGTAGTTGTTCCTGCTTTCAAAATATCCAAGGAAGAAGACTATAAAAAAGAGAAATCAGCAGAATAAGCCTTAGCTGGAGTGGCATAACTCTGAAACATTTAGAGGGTACTTAATGGCAATTTAACACTCTTTAACTAACAACCGCTCTCATTTTAAGTGCCTTTATGTTGCTTTTAAAGTAACATGACAAATCCCTTAAAAACTGCTCTAAAATCTGCTTACCAAAGGCATAGCTAGTTATATTGTTCCCCTGGGCAGAGCAGGGTGGGACAGGCTCACCCTATTTTAGTTGTTGCTGCTGTAATATGGGCTCAGGCATGGGCAACTGATGCCACCTTAGTCGGGGGGGGGGGCACATGCCCCCCAGCGACTAGTCAGTGACTGGGGGAGGGGTCCCCCTACAGCCAATCTTCCAATCTTGCTGACTGGGGGGGGTCCCCCCCACTGACTGATGGGGGGGGAAGGGAGTCCCCCCATGGCTGATCGCAAAGCAGCTGTGGCACTCCCACTCCCCAGCTGGCGCTCCCACCTGCCCACTGCCTGAGCAAGGTCAGGAGGTGCACTGGCACTCTATGGCAGCCCCTACAGCACGGGTTCCCAAAAGGCCATTCTGGTATCTTCTGAATCGGTGTTGGGCCTGTGCCATGATCACCCACTACTGTTGTTTCCTGCTGTTTTTAGAAGCTTAACAAATAGATTGTAAGAGCTGCTGTAGCCCCAGACCCTGGGACTATTAGTTCCAGTGCCTGAACTCAGACCCAGCATGGCTAGGAGTATCTGGGACAGCCAAATATCTTAGGGTTGTGCTTGCTCAGTGCAGATGGAATACTTGAGAAATTAAACTCTGAAGTCCTAGCAATCCTCTAATGAGTATGTGTGAACGATACTTTTTCAAAGCCGACATACTAGCCAAATTTGGGCAGGTTTTCAGAGGTGACAAAAGGCAAAACTTTGACAAAGGCCATCTATTTGCCAAATGTCAATAGTTAGACACAATCCCATTTGAGAGTCCAGAGAGGTAAATGGGGAAAAAAATAAGCATTAACTTTGAATAGCAGAGGCATAACAAGTTAGTACTATGCCCTGCCCCTTCCCTCCTCCAGCTCCAGCTCTGGCTCCGACAGCAAGGAGGACAGAACAGCAGTAGTGGTGCAGAAGCAGCAGCTGGAGGTTTGTGTCACCTCCTTTTTCTGGCACTGACATGCGTGTTGAGTAGCCAAAAAACACCAGTTTTTGGCAGACAAAAAAATAAAAAAAGGTGAGGTGACATCTCCCCCAGATGCTCTTGCACCACTGCTGATTCTCTGTCCTCCCTTCTGCTGGAGCTGGAAACACTGCAGGGAAGTTGCAGGGTATGGGAGCAGGGGATGGGGGGGACAGGAGGGTGAAGCATGCTCTTCCCTGCTCCCCCCAGCTCCATTCCAGTGGCTTCTTTAGGCAGCACCTGGGGCTCATGCCCCACTCACCCACCATTATGCTACTGTTGAACAGTGACTGTACACAGTATTACAAAGCCTTGAAGCACAGATGCTTACATACCAAACAAGCCAGAATATCTTAACACTTTCATGTTCTAAAATTCCCCCAAAACAAAAGCTAAACATATATTTTAAATTCTTATGTGCATCTATGTATCCATGAACATGGCAGAAATATGAAAGGAAAATTCAGTAAGCCTGGAAAAAACTTTCATAACACTGGTAAAAGACTATATATTTCATCTTCCCTTCATTTTACTTTAGAGTCTGCCATATGCAGCAAAAAATATTCTAGGCGTTTTCACACCGCACCAATTACAGAGAGTGATTTTTTTCCTTCAGCATTTTTCAAACCATATGTAGGCCTAGCTACATTAAAGTTGTACATATTTTTGTCATGCCTAATGGGATTTAATTTTTTATTTTAATTTGTATAAAAGCTTCTTTTGGAAAATAAACCAACACTAAGGCAGCTTGAGAAATGAACATAGATTCTTACCCTTCATGTACTGTTTAAAGTAAACATCAATTTGTAATTTTGGGTTTTCTGGTTCCATACTATCTTCTTTAATTATTTTTATGCTGACTGCATATTTATAATTTTCACATTTCTCATACTAGGAACACAGCTTTACATAGCAGCATATTAATAATGTAGGTGCTGTTTCTTATTCTAGAGGAGTAAAGAATTATTTTATAGTGCTCAAAACTGGTATTACATAAGAACTGAATTATAGAGGCATTTGCAACAACTCTACTGTTAAGGCTTCATTGAGATTATACTTAAAGCACAAAACTTGCTGTGCTTATTTTCCATATTTGGCACTATAATTCTTTAGAGGATAACTAATTAGTTTTCTTAAGTGAAATATTTGCTAACTTTTGCAAAAATAAGCACTTTTCTTAAGTTTTGAGAATCCGTGCAGACTTGTCTTTGACTAAAGTTCCTTCCGCTTTGGAGTAGGAATTGTTTCAGATGCAAACTAATTGTAAGGACCCTTGAACCTTTAATCAACTTTCTTAATGTGACCGATTTTGGAGTACACGAGTGTCCACTATTTTCTGCCCTAACATACAACTTCTTGTTTTATGCCAGTTAAAACATAATCTCGATGAAATATTTCTGTCTGTGTGAATATACAGAACAGTTCCCATTTTTGCTTTGAGAATCTCAGAAAGAAACACAAAATATCTCAAATATGAAATCTTCATTTGATATTAATGGGTAGGAAAAGGAGCTAACTGGAAAATCATTCATTTTGATCCAAACTCTTCATCAATCAATTCCTTATTCCCCCAGTAGAGTCATCTTTAAAATAGTTAATCACTAACCTGGCACCAGGTGCAGGACCAGTGGTTTTGACTGGGGTCCAATTAAGAGATACTGAAACATAATGTAGAATTTTAAATCAAAGAAGACAGTAATGGCAGTGCAAACAAAATATTACTAATATGCAGAACTAATAGCAATATATAAAAGCTAATTGGATTCAAAATTTAATTTGTTTTTCTGAGCACAGTTGTGAGTTCTGCTTAAAAAATGTCAACACTATATGAAAGCACAATAATTCACACAAGTAAAATGTAAAATATAACTGAGAAAGAACTATGTGACGGCAGCATGTACAAGTACTATTGCCATCAATTAAAATAAATAGATGCTCAAAATTACTTATCTAATAAGCGGCCTGATTTTAAGAGTTAATGAGGACCGACAGTTCCCATCAAAGTCAATAGGAACTTTGGATATTCAGATGACAGGTATCCAAGTACAGGTTTTGTTGACTGATTTTAAGCACCCAAGTTGTAAAAATGTGGCCTGTACATAAACTCTTAGATTATATTTCTTGGAGCATAGAAGTCAACAAATAAATGAATGATTAAAAGATTATTCTCTGTGTATATGGCATGTATTGCTTGGGATTGATTTGGAGTCAGATAAAACTTTAGTCCCACAAAGATTTGTATCTGCAAATTTTGCAGAAGTGTCACTATAGGTAAAAGATATTGTGCCAGAATCTGAGAATGATGACAAGTGGTTTCACTTACCTGTACTGAACATATACAAGTCATCAACAGTTTTTCCATAGTGAACTCCACCATAAACATAGATGTTTTCCCCTACTACTGCTGAACTGTGTCTAAGGGTCCGTGGTGCAACACCGGTGGTTTTTATCTTTTGCCAGGTTAAAGAACCTAAAATGAAAAACAAATGTAAATTTTAAAGGATTTCCTCTATGTTCACCAACTGGGAAAGCATAAAAAGGTTTCTCTTTGCTTTTGATGATACAAACCCTCTTCAATACAGGATTTCTGTCAAAAAAAAAAAAAGTGGCAAAAATATATCAGGTCTGTCACAGTGTGTGGTGGACGTGTTAGCTAAAGAGAAGAACTCTTCCTTGGGTCTCTACTGCATTTTGGTGAATTCAAAGACAATTCTGCTTCCTGGACCTATGACTTTCACACATCCACTCTCTAGTGCTCTGAACTAGGCCTTTGCAAAGCGGCTAGTATTCATTTCGGATTTGGATCTCAATGATTTGGGAGACAATGATTCAATTTGGTGATTCGAATCACTGTCCTGAATTGATTCAGAGATTCAGCTGCTGAATCACCCAAGCTCAATCCCCTCTTCCAGTCCCCCCTCCCCCAGCCCCTACTTACCAGCTCCAAGTCTGGCTACAACTCCCTGCTGCAGCAGGTGGGGACTGCCTGAATCATCGAAGCTCTCCGAATCTTTTCCGAAGATTTGGAGACCTTTGAATTAATTCGGACCTTTTTCTTGGTCCCCTGATTAGATTTGGATTTGGAGATTCAGCCACTGTATTGGGCCGAATCTCCTCTGAATCAAATCAACACCCGAAGCTTCACACAGCCCTACTCTGAACCCCTCCTTGCCATGTGCACTCAGCTGAGACTGGAGCTTGCAGACAGCTGAGCATTCCAGACAGCAGGAGAGTGGAGTATCCCATTCTAAGGCCAGGGAAATATGATCATCCTAACCACAGTATAAATGTTCTGGCTATTTGGAGAGGTAGATATCTAGACCTAAACTGAGGAAGGAGTCTAGTATGGGGTCTAAGATTGATCCAGTGGTTCTGATCCTGCAACAGAATCTGTGCAGATATGGCAGGACTTTGCACAAGTGCTGGGGTCAGCTACCTAGTTCAAATAGCAGGATCTGAGCCTATGATGAAAAGTGACAAAAAAGAGTAGGCAGAAAAGGAAGCACTGAAGTGGTTTTGGTGAGGGAAGATGTTCCATACAAATGAAAGAAGGGGTAGTTAGAATTCATGAACATCCAAAAAGTCAAACCTGCAGGAATCATCTTTTGCCTGTTATGAAAACAATTACAATATCAACAATTACTATAAATGTTTATAAAGCAACAGGTTTACACCAAGCTAGAGAAATTTATCAGTAGCTTCCCATTCACTGAGGCATAGCTGTTACCATATTTACCCGAATCAAAGATGACCCTGAATTTAAGGAGCCCCACCCAATTATTAGATTCTAGACTTGGAAAATTTGTTTTAATTTTCCATGTCTAGAATCTAGTTATTGGAGAGTCCTCTTAAATGTATCCATTCTACCACTGCCACAGTGAAAGTAGTGGCAGGGAAAGCAGCTACTAGAGGAAAGACAGCTTGCCCCATACCCCTTGTGCCCCCCATGCCTACCTTCCTGCTGTTCATTCCACTCTAGTATTTCCCCCTCCTACCACTAATCCCCTTCTTGTGCCTGTTCCCTTCCCCCTTACCTTCGCAGCTGCTCTTGTTCTGTCTCTGCTCGGTGCATGGAGCACCTGACCAGGCCAGGCCAGGCCAGTGGCGTCTCTAGTTTCAGCCTCCAGCCCCAGCTGGGGTCAGGGCTGGAACTGCAGCAGATCCCCTGCTGCTCTGTGCACCCCTTCCCCATGCTCTCCCTGCTCTGTGCAAACCTTTCCCATGCTCCCCCTGCACAGCATGCCCTTTCCCCACTCCCCTTTTCTGTGCTTCTCTCATTCCATGCTCCATTTTTCACCACCCTATGCATCCCTTTCCCCATGTCCCTTCCCCTGTGCT